GGCGTGGAACTGTGCCCACAGGGTTTTCAGTGGTTGGTTTTTCAGAAGTAGATTGCCACGTTTTTCTTCCAAGGCACCTCTGGGCAGACTCAAATTGCCAGCTTTTTGGTTAGCAAGCAAGTGCATTAACTGCTTGCACCATTCAGGCCCTTTTCTTTTGCCTACCACACACAGGGAATTAGATAGTAATATTTATGCTTCTATAGCATCGACTTTGAGCCAGTGGTTGTTGTTGTTACGTGCCGCCGAGTCGGACCCGACTCATAGCGACCCCTCCTTGGGTTTCAGAGGCAGTATCACTACGGAAGTAGATTGCCCCATCTTCGTTCCCAAGAGTGGCTGGTGGGTTTGAACCGCCAGCCTTCTGGTTAGCAGTCAAGTGTCTTAGGCACTACGCTACCAGAGCTGATCAAATCACTACCCTAATCAAATCACTTTTAAATATTAATTTATTTACCCCTCATAACAGACCTTATAAATCCAAACCAAATTCACTGCCATCGAGTCAATTCCAACTCATAGTGACCCCTTTTGGGTTTCCGAGGCAGTAAATCTTTACGGAAGTAGATTGCCCAGTCTTCCATCCACGGAGTGGCTGGTGGTTTGAACTACCAGCTTCTGGTTAGCAGTCAAATGCCTTAGGCACTATGCCACCAGAGCTCCTTAACAGACCTATAAGGTAGATATTATTATAATATCCATTTTACAGTTGAGAAAAATCAAAGAACCCCAGGCAACTTGCCCAAAGTCATAATAACTAGCAAGTGGTAGAGCTGAGATTTGAACCTAGACCATCTCACTCCAGAGACTGTCCTCCTAACCACCCTGGCTAAAGTTTATTGTGCTTCTGCTCTGTGCCATGCAGTCTTTAAACAGCAGAGCTGACCTCAAGACTGCCTGACTTCTAAGGACATGTCCCTAATAAGTATGCTATACTGTGTGACACAGAAGAAACATTATTTTATATGCTTTTTAATGGAAACAGAGTTATGATGGCATAGAAACTAACACAGTGCCCTCAGCCTTTGGTTACCATTTCTTCTCCACATCCATACTGGCAAGAGGAATGACTAACTAGTCACATCACAGTACAAACAGCTGACAAGTTCCAATGTGGTTATTTGCTTTTTTTCTTTTTTTTTTTTATTGGATTTATTTATCATTCCTCATCATTTTATAGCTTATTTTCTTTTCCGTTCTTTTTTTTTTAATTGTGATTTGGGTGAAAGTTTACAGAGCAAATTCATTTTCCTTACAACAGTTCGTGCACATTTTGTTTCATGACATTGATTGTAATCCGTGTAATATAACAGCTCTCTTCCCACTTCCTCCTTGTGGTTACTTTTTTCCTGTGTCCTTCTTTCTCATGCATTCCTGCCCTCTGAAGTATGTCCCTGTGCAAATACTGCCCTTCTGCTCTCCCATGATTGAGTGTTCTAAGGAGTGTACCTACCTGGTGTAAATGTCCACCTTTTATGCCTGTCTATTGTTTGGCTGGAAGCCACAGGAGAGAATTCAATTCCAGTCCTGATGGGTGACTGATTGGTCTTGAGGATTTGCCAGTCTCTTTCAAACCAGTAAGCCTGGTCTTTTCCATGATTTTGAGTTTTGTTCCACATTTTTCTCCCACTCTATCCAGGATCTCTTACACTAATCCCTTTCCGAGAGGTTGACAGTAGTAGCTGGGTACGTAGTTCTTCTGGTCTGAGTCATGTAGTCCCTTGGACTAATTGTTCCCATGTGTCTTTGGTTTTCTTCATTCTTCTTTGCTCTGGATGAAGAGAGACCCATTGTTGCATCTTAGATGGCTGCCTGTAGGCGTCTAAGACCCCAGTCACTACTCACCAAAGTAGGATATAGAGCAATGTTTTTATGTAGTATGTCATGCCATTTGAGCTTGATGTCAATGATATTTGCATTTTAAATGCAAAGAGTATCTAAAATAAAGAGGCAGAACCTCATTGGAAGAATTCTAATCATCAGGCAACCTAACCAGTTGCTGAGAAGTGAATTCCCGTTAATGGTGAATTCACATTTGTCAGAGTAGATTGTGTTTTATAGGGTTTTCAATGGCTAATTTTTCAGAATTATATTTCCAGGCCTTTCTTCTGAGGTACTTCTGGGTAAATTGAACCCTTGAACCTCCAGCCTTTTTTTTTTTTTTAACTTTTTATTGTGATATGAGTGAAAGTTTACAGAGCATATTTGTTTTCTATTCAACAATTCATACATATTTTATTTAGCGACATTGATTGCAGTCTCCACAATGTAACAGCACTCTTCCCACTTCCTCTATATGTTTACTATTTCCATTTATCCTTCTTTCCTGTCCTTTCCTGCCTTCTGAACTCCATCCTTGGGCAAATGCTGAGCTTTTGATCTTATTTGGTTTATTCTAAGGTGTCCTAACCTTCTTTGTGTTATTGTTCACATTAAAAGCATGTCTATTGTTGACTAAGGAGCTCTGGTGATGTAGTGGGTAAGGCGTTTGGAAGCTAACCACAAGATCAGTGGTTCAAACCCATCAGCTGCTCCATGGGAGGAAGATGGGGCAATCTACCTCCATAAAGATTTGTAGCCTTGGAAATCCAATGGGGGTCAACATGGGTCGTAATCAACTGAATAGCAATGGGTTTGGTTTTGGTTTGGTATTGTTTGACTAAAAGTTGAACCACAGGGGTGAGTTAATTTCCAGGCTTGAATAGTGTGTAAGGGCTATAGTCTTAGGGGTTTCATCAATCTCTACCTGACCAGTAAGCCTGGTCTTTTTTATGATTTTGAATTTTGTTACACATTTTTCTGCAACTCTATCCAGGACCTCCTATTGTGATCCCTTTCATAGGGGTTAGTATTACCTGGCACCACCTTGTTTTTCTGATCTCATGGTTGTGGAGGCTGGGGTTTATATGGTCCATTAGTCCTTTGGACTAATTGTTTCCATGTGTCTTTGATTTTCTTCACTTTTCTTTGCTTAAGATGGGGAGAGACCAATAGCTGGATCTTACATGGCCATTTCCGAGCTTTTAAGAACCCAGTTGCAACTCATCAAAGTAGGATGTAGAACATTGTGTTTGTGGAGTATGTCATGCCAATTGACCTTGATGCCCTTTAAGACTGTAGTCCTGAGCCCCTGGACCCAGCAACTCATTCCTTCAAGGTATTGGTTATGGCTAAGAAGTTTTCATAACTTTGTCCCTATATGCTCTATATATTTGCAATGTATGTAAATATATATGTAGAAATAGCCTCTGTCAAGCCAATATATATTCATGGGTGTAGTCCCACTCACTTTCTTGTACCTATTCAGCTTATATGTCAATCTAGGTACCCACTCGTGTGTCTATTACCAAGACAAGTAATTATTGTCATTACTGTTATTGCAGAATTGTATATGTAATAGTAGTTAGCTCTATTGCCTTTAACTCTCATGTTCCTCCTAGGGTCTTCCTCTGCCTTGATGATTTTGTGCTGGCCTCCCTCTTGTATATTTCCTTTCCCTTTGCCTATGTTAATACATGTCTACCCTCTTGTTAGTGATTTACCCTTACTTCCTCTACTACTTTTGGTAACCTTAAAAGAATGTTTCTTTCTACATGTAAACCTTTTGTTGACTCTTCATAGTAGTGGTCTCATACAGTATTTACTCTTCTGTGATTGATTTATTTCACTCAGCATAATGTCCTCCAGGTTCATCCATGTTATGAAATGTTTTGCAGATTCATTGTTATCCTTTAAAATAACTTAGTATTCCATCGTGTGTATTATACCATAGTTTGTTTATCCATTCAGGCATCCATTGATGGACATTTAGGTTTTTCCATCTTTTTGCGATTGTGAATAGTGCTGTGATGAACATGAGTGTGCATATGTGCCATGGCTCTTATTTCTATAGGTTATATACCTAGTAGTGAACTTCCAAACTTTTTGGTTAGCAGCCAAACACATTAGCCGTTTGCACCACTCAGGAACTCCTCCGCAAACCTAGGGGAGGTAATATTCTGCAGTTAGTTTGTTCTGAGAAACTGCAGAATGTGAACCACTGAAAGAAAGCAGCATTTATTAAATGACAATATCCATGGTGACTTTCTGAATGAGTGAATTGAACAAATAAAATTTTGAAAAGTATTCATTTAATACCTAAAATGATCCTAGTTGTCTATCCCAATGCAAAGTGAATTGATGAGCTGAGACATTATATGACTTTTTCAAAGCAGAGGGTTTGCTAGGGAGTGGGGGAGTAGGAGAGAAGATTTTAGTGTTGCTGTTTAGGGAAAAAGAAATGAAGGTCTGGGGGCTGCATCATTTTCCTGTTTAGCTACCCTCTGGAAAGAAGAGGGTGTGGCAAAGACAGCCACTAGATGGAGAGCCTGAGCTAGGAAATGTGAATCGTTTCTAGACAGGTACAGGCAGATTTCAGCTTCAGGGATCAGCCTAACTTGTCCCACATGAACCTCGGGGCACTTGGACCATGTTGATCACACTCCAGCAGCCATCTCTTCCCTGTAGAATTCCACTGAGACAAACCCCAGTGGGCCTATCTGAAGCACTGTCTCTAACAATGTTTTACTCTCACCAATGAAGCGAGTCAGAGGGCAAGGACACAGAGAGATGAGTATGGCACAGCTCCTTCTCACAGGATGCCTCTGATTTAAAAGTTCTTTTGTGGGATTTACCAGAGACGGAAAGATAGAAGACAGGCGCTTCAAGTTGATTTGATTCTCCAAACAGCCTCCCAGATAATTGTCAAGAGGTTTTCAGACTGGAGCTGGGTGGGTAATGACTTTTAGATTGGTTAGCAATCAATCCCCCAAATGTTAGGCTGTAATTAAGTGCCCAGTGTATAAATTCATCTATGGAAAGTGCCTCAGGGAAGCCATTTCTGTGAGCTGCTCATTACTCATGTCAATCAGAGATGTAGAGAACAAGAAATGCTGGTTTGTCTCTAAGGGACCCCTCCATGCAAAACCCCGCACACTAACACATCATCTTTTCTTTTCCAGGGAAGAGAAGGCCAAAGGGGGCTCCCAGGTGTCCCGGTAAGATTCTTTACTTTGTGTTCCCTGTGGTGGATGGGAATGAGATGAGATTCCCCACAGGCAAATGGTGATGGTAATGAATGAGTATTTAGAAAGGATGTTGTAGAAAGCACTGAGCACTGGGCGTGGTCCTCATCAAGAATGGGAAACACAAGTACCCATCAGTTCAGCTGCCCAGGAACAAGACAGGCTTGGCCTAAGGCAAAACAGGTATCTTTGTAGTAAACAGAACTTGTGAATTTAACTACTTCTCCTACACATTTGGAATCCATGGCAAGAGACCGAAATTCTTCATTAGAATAATGAACAAACAAAATGAAAAGCAAGCAAGCAAGCAAGGGCTCATTCCTTCAGACAGTAAGAAAGAGTAAAGTAGGAGTAACTTTGAGGCTAAGAACCGTGAGTACTGTATAGTTTCCTGGTACTGTTTTATGACATATAAATATCACAGAAATATCACAAGCAGGTGGCTTTAAAGAATAGAAGTTTATTCTCTCACAGTTCAGGAGGCTGTTGTTGTTGTTATGGGCTGCCTAGTCGGACCTGACTCATAGCGACCCTTCCTTGGGTTTCCGAGGAGGTATCACTATGGAAGTAGATTGCCCAACTTTCCTTCCGAGGAGTGGCTAGAAGTCCAAATTCAAGGTACCCACTCTAGGGGGCTGGCTCTGGGGGAAGATCCTTGTCTCAGCTTACATAGCTTGCAACATTCCTTGGTTCCTTGGAGATCTTCAGGTGGCTCTACCCACCCCATCCCCATGTCCCCCACCCCATCTCTGTTCGGTTTAGGACATACCCTGCAGTGACATGGCCTCATTGACATAATAGAGAAACCCTGATTCCTAGACAGGATTCTTTCCCCAGGTATATGAGTCAGAACTCCATTATATATTTTTGGGGGGACAGAATTCAATTCATAATAGATACTACAGAGAGAAAATCTACATGGAAATAATATGGAGAAAATTTAACACTGAAAACTCTCATTCATCAGGGGCAGCCAGGAAATTCTGGACTTAAAGGTGCACCAGGAAATGAAGGATTACAAGGAGCACAGGTGTGTTAGAATATTTGATAAGTATTGATGAACAATGCTGAATTATCCTGATGGAAAGAAGGCAGAAGTTCCATATTTAAAAAAAATAAATAAATAACGAGAAATTTTTAATCTGCCTCCTCTCCACATATTTCTGGAATTTCCTTCTGTGAATGTGTGAGTTTGCTTCATCAAACCTGCTCCCATACTTGCAGCTCACTGATGACCCTTTTGTAAAGGAAAGATCTACTCTTGTGTTCAACTGATATTGTGTCTGCATAGTAGTAATAATGAAATATTATACCTTGATACTGTATTAATGTTATATAATATTATGTTAACCGATATCAGGATCATCATACTGGTTTTTGTTAACTGAGGTCTGGAGCACAGAAGCCCATGAAGGAAAGTTAGTTTGGAGTTGGAAACTTATTCAACTCATCTATAGCTTAATCCATAGGGAGTAACAGTATACCTGGAATATTCCAGATTGGACTTTATATGAACCATTCACATTTGGTCGTGGTCATATCTATAGTTAAATGGACATCAGAAGTCAAGGATTCTCTGCCTTCTTCTCTTCTCTCTTCCATGCCAGAAAGATGCCAGGGCCATGCCTAGACAATGGCTTTGTAACACATGGGTATTTAGTGACCAGACATTATGAAAGCCATTTTAAGCCTGAATTTGTCTGGAAAGTCTTGTGCTGATATGCCTATTCCAAGGCTTTCCCAGGAGTTTGTTTTTCTTCTAGAAAGTTCCAGATGATTACTATTAAACTGGGATTTGGGATTCTCCTGAGTGGTTGTGGGGTCCCTGAACCAAGCTGTCAGCTAGCAGTACCCAAGGGACCAGCCTGAATCCATCCTCAGGCATTCAGGCAGGATGACAAGATACTCCATGGCCCCTTGAACCTAAGAGCCATGAGTTACACAAAATAAGAGCTATGTTCTACGTAGGCAATTAGCCCAGGCAGTCCATTGGCTCCAGCCGTCATTTGTGGGGGGCAACCAGAACCTATTTCACACCTGGTGCTTTAGTGGTGAGAAACCTTACTAAGACATTTAGTTTCTCCTTCTATGTAAGAAAACCATCTGAGAACTATGAATTTGAAGGTAAATATGGTGGAAAATATGCTTTGATTTCACCAATAATGCTCTGATACTAATAGTCCTTTGTCCTAACACGAGAAAACATTGCTCTCTACTTTATATATTGATAAGCCCTGTCAAGAACTCTATCTGACTCTTGTTTATGTCTCACTTCCTTTGTCTATAGGCTATCTTCTTCCCTTTAGTTTTCCTTTGTCATTTCTCCCTGTAGGAGAGATATGAAGTCATATATCCAGGTAGGGAATTCCTTAATAAGATCTGTACCACTGAGTCAGATCTGCTTCCAATTCCTCTGCTAAAATATGCTTAATCTCACCGGTTAAAGTTTGTTTTCAGCCTTTTAACAGTTAAGCAAGAGGCTATTTGAGGAATCAGAGTGTTGCTTTTCCATGGGGATGTTTCAAAGCACTAACCAAGAAAGGAGGTTTTTCATTGACACCTGATAGCGAATGTTTCTTTTGTTACCACCACAGGGGCTAGATGGAATTCCTGGCAGGAAAGGAGAAAAGGGAAGCCAGGGGCATAAAGGACCACAGGTGAGTGACTCAGAGACATTAAGGTAAATAGCTCCCAACCTTTGTTTGCTTCTTACTTCAAAAACATCTTCATATACTGTTTATTTTATGTTATCCACATATAGATTGTTTCATTTTGAATTAACTGGGGGCCAGTTTTAGCCCACCTCACAGTCTTGGCATATAGCTTGGAGACCTTTCTTTCTCCTTCACTTGGGTTTTACTCAGAAATGCAGACTAATTTCATCAGTCTAAGAAGAAAAAAGGCATTTGGAGTAATACTGATACTGCTAAATAATTAACATTTCCTCCCAAACCTGATATATTATTCTGGTTTTTCATAACTTTTAAACATTATTTGTACCATTCGTATCTCCATTGATTGTAGATGTTTGAAAGTGATTCTGCCAATATCCCTTGCTATCCAAATCGAATTGATTCTTAAATTCACATGTCAAATTAGCCGTCTGAATCTATTTGTTTCCTGATTTTCTGATAATGAGTGATGAGAATTTGGATAATGAGGGATTTGAATAAAAAAATTCTTAATCTATTCTGTTCTTCAGCTTGGATGGCAAGAGTTCAGAGAGCAAGGAATACCTGCATTTGCTCAGTTCTCTTCCTTGCATGTTTGTGAGAGACACTATTGCCCATTTTGAGATGGAGAAATTGAAATGTATTCTACATCTCATTATGCATGCACACATGGCACAGTGGACAGAGGTGGCAGAAGGCAGCAAGTGTGTTGTTCTAACAAAATCAGTACATCATGACGAATTTCTCATGCTTAGGAATAAAATGTGCTGAGGAAAGGGCACCTTTTCTGTTTCTTACTAAGTGATGTCCATGCAGCTCAAGATTGGTGTCTTTTAACTGGAACTTATCCTGAGTAGCAGTTTTAGGCCATATGTCTCTCTCTCCTGGATGGCTGGTTTCCTTGTAAGGAGGCATCAAGGAGTTGTTGGAACTGCTATGAAGAAAAATGAAAAACTTTTAATAGGCTTTCTAAGAATTGCTGCAGCTCCAACATTTATGTCTCCCATTTCCTTTCAGGGCTCTCCAGGACCAATAGGACCCGAAGGGAGCATTGGAAGGCCTGGACTTTTGGGCAAAAAAGTAAGTGTTATTTCTAACTATTTCCCTGACATAATCTTTAAAGCAAAAATATCCTATGAAGTCTTCTTAAAACCAAACAATAGTTTAGCTTAACTAGTAAAAAAAAAAAAAAAAAAAGTCTGCCTTGAGCATTCTGCTGTTTTAAGAACTATCAATACAGGATCAAATTGACAAAAACAACCCAAAAGATAGGAATCTTAGGGGGCAGTGAGTTTATGTTAATGAAAGAGGAAAGCCCAGAAAATGAGAGTGAGAATGGTTGCACAACTCAAAGAACAGTATTAATGCCACTGAATTACATGTGTGGAAACTGGTGAATTGGTGTATGTATATTTTATATATTCTGTATATTCTCAACAACCGTAACAAAATAAATACAATTTTAAAGTAAATCAATTAAATACAATACTGAGAGCAAAATATCTCTATTCTCTTCCAGATTTTTATGTTAGTTCCTCACATGATTGAATCCAGTCACTATCAATAGGCTACCAGCATTCTACTAATATGTTCTCTTCCTTCATTGAGCACAAACTTTCTAATTGTTCATTTTCTCCATGAAACTGCCCCTACTTCATGAGAAGAGACAGAGTAATCTCACCCATCATGAAACAACCTGAAAAGCTTTTCAAATCCCTGATTTTCTGAATGCATGGATGTACTCAGTGGCAGAGGGGTTGCAGAACCCAGATCTTCTTTTTACAGATGCAATTCTCTGTCTAACCCCACCTGCCACCATGGAGGTGCCTCTTACAGAGATTGTCAGAGAGCAAATCATTGGCCTAGCCAGGATCTCACTCCCCTGCTTAAAACTTTTCTGTATCTCCCCTACCCACCCAGAGCCAACTTCATTTGCCTGTGATATAGAACACTGAGCTTAGAAGGACCCTCTGCCTAGTTTAATGCTCTGCTGTTACCTTCTTAGAATTTTTAATAATTTTTGAACAAGGTACCTCACATTATCATTTTGCATTGCTCCCACAAATTATGTAGCCAGTATTGCCTTCCCCATTGCTCTCAAGAAAGTCTCCAAACTTCAAAGTAGCTTACAAGGCCTTTGCAATTTGACTCTGTTAAATTCTATGGCTTCATAGCCTGTGCAAGAGCTCTGGTGGTATAATGCCTAAGGCATTTGACTGCTAACCAGAAGGCTGGCGGGTCAAACGCACCAGCCACTCCTCGGAAGGAAGGTTGGGCAATCTACTTCCATAGTGATATCACCTTGGAAACCCAAGGAAGGGTCGCTATGAGTCGGGGCTGACTCGATGGCACATAACAAGAAATGCATCTTCTGTCCTCCATGCCTTGCTGCCAGTTCCTCCTGTATATTGAAGTTTTCTCAGTTCCTAGAGCACACCTGCCCTGACTTCTCACCAAGCATTTCCTCTACCTGGCTCATACTCACCCTTCCTTGCCTTTCCCTAGCCCACAAAACTTATCTTTCAACCCTCAGCTTCCTTGGTCATTGCCTTCAGGCAGCTTCTGGCACACCAAATCTAATTTAGGTATCCCATCTCTTTGCTGATGTCAGATGGATCTTGGCTGAAAGCAAAGAATACCAGAAAGATGTTTATTTGTATTTTATTGACTATGCAAAAGCATTTGATTGTGTGGGTCATAACAAATCATGGATAACATTGAGAAGAATGAGAATTCCAGAACACTTAATTGTACTCATGAGGAACCTGTTACATAAACCAGGAGGCTGTCATTCAAACAGAACAAGAGGGTACTGCATTGTTTAAAATCAGGAAGGGAATGTGTCAGGGTTGTATCCTTTCACCATACTTATTCAATCTGTATGCTGAGCAAACAATCCAAGAAGCTGGACTCTATGAAGAGGAATGTGGCATCAGGATTGGAAGAAGACTCATTAACAACCTGCAATACGCAAATGACATGATTTTGCCTGCTGAAAGTGAGGATGACTTGAAGCACTTACTGATGAAGATTGAAGACTACAGTCCGCAGTATGGATTACACCTCAATCTAAAGAAAACAAAAATTTTCACAACTGGACCAATAAGCAGCATCACAATAAATGGAAAAAAGATTGAAGTTGTCAAAGACTTCATATTACTTGGTTCTAAAATCAACACCAGTGGAAGCAGCAATCAAGACATCAGACAATGTATTGCATTAGGCAAATCACTGCAAAAGACCTCTTTCAAGTACTGAAGAGCAAAGATGTCTGATGTCTCCTTGAGGACTAAGATGCACCTAACCCAAGCCATGCTATTTTCATCGCCACTTATGCATGTGAGAGCTGGACAATGAATAAGGAAGACTGAAGAAGAGTTGATGCTTTTGAGTTGTGGTGTTGGCAAAGACTGCTGAAAGAACTAATAAATCTGTCCTGGAGGAAGTGCAGCCTGAATGCTCCTTGAAAGCAAGAATGGTCAGACTTCATCTCAGCTACTTTGATCATGTTGTCAGAAGGAACCATTCTCTGGAGAAGGATATCATGCTTGGTAAAGTGGAGGGTCAATGAAAAAGGGGAAGGCCCTCAACAAGATGGATGGACACAGTGCCTACAATGATGGGCTCAGGTATAGCAAAGATTGTGAGGCTGGCACAGGACCAGGCAGTGTTTCATTCTGCTGTGCATAGGGTCACTATGAGTCAGAGACAACTCAATGGCACCTAACAACAACAGCAACATCTCTTTGCTCTCATAGCAGCACAAACTTCATCACACAATATAATAATTGCTTGTCTAATTATCTCTCTTATCAATCCGATTACACTTGATAAGGGTAGGACCACATCTATCATGTTTAATGCTGTTCTTTTCCAGGACAATCAATAATTTTACATGGGCAAATAAATGAGCAAATGAATCAACTTCCCCTAAAGTAAATTTCCTACCTTTTGCCTTCCTCTTTGGTCCTTGTATAACAACAGGAAAATGGTACTTGAGTCTACCCTTGTGTTAAGCTAGCGATGTTGCTTGCTCACCTTTGGGAAGATCATTATTTCTCCTCTTCAGGCCCTCTCCTTACTGAGCACTAACCTTTCGCTGCCAACCCATGTCTCCTCATCTAGCGGACAGAACTTCTTATGGTGAGGAGCAGGCCTTGATTTTACTGATCTGAAGCTCTTCTTCTCTCACTTATTAGGGAGAACCTGGAGCTCTTGGAGACCCAGGGCCAATGGGACAAAGTGGACAGAGAGGAAAACAGGTATGAAGTTTGGGGACCTTTACCCTTTCCCAGATGCAAGTTCTGGGGTAAAGAAAAGGGTATTGATACTATTAACTTAAACATCTGGGATATTGAAGGCACTTCTCTTATGTCACAGCAGTCATTCTATAGCTGGGCTGTCAAAGTGAGAAAGAGTGGTGTGGGGGAGGAAGGATGGATACAGAGAGGATAGTGGATGAATCAGAATAGAGCATTTCAATATTGCAACATCAGTATGGTCATATAGATGCATGTCAGTTGATAAACAGCACCACCCATTTTTTTTCCCTACTTGTGAGGCTCCATGGTAGCAACAAAAACTGGGAAATAGGGCCAAGAAGGGATCATTTCTATTTTAGGCCTGAATTCTGTTCTAGAGGCTTTGACTGTACCATAATCTCAGCCCAGGGAGCAGTCTAGTTAAGGACAATTTTTTAATTCTTTTAAAAATATTATTTTTCTTATAGAATTTATGCATAGATATTGTAGAAAATTTACCAAACACAAAAAAAGAAGTGAAAGGGAAAGAAAAGAAAAATATACCCATAATCCCACCATTTTTAGATCTTCATCATTTACATCCTGAAGATATCAGAAATAAGATCATTGCAATATACTCTAGTTTTCTCTCTCAACAATGCATCATGAACATATTTCCATGTAATTATTTTTTTACTTAGTCTCAATTTAAATAATTTCAAATTATTCTACTGAATATAAGTACCTTAGTTTACTTGACCAGTCTCTTACTATTGAACATTATATTTGTTTCCAGTTTTCCATTGTCATAAACAGAACAGCAGTGAATATCCTTATACCTAACTAAATTTTGGGCAAAACAATAATTAATTTCTACATAGAAATTTCTAGAAGTAGCATAGCTGGGTCAAAGAATATGTAATATTTAATTAAGGCTTTTTACCCCTGTTGTAATGTGCCTTTAGGAATATTCATATAAAAAAATAAAACGGTCATGCATCATGCAAGAGAGTGCTTGTTAGGACAACCATACCAACAATGAGTATGATCACCTTTTTTTTTTTTTCTTCATGTTTTCCAATTTTAATGTCCAGAAAAAAAAAAAGTACCTCGTTACAATTTCAAATTGCATTTCTTTGATTACTAGTGAGGATGAGCATTTTTCCATGTCTTTCATCATTTGTAATTATTATTTTAGATCCTTCACACATGCCTTTTGGACAAACTCTTAATTTCCCACTGATGCCATGAGTCCTGAAGGACCATCCCTCTGATTCCTATAATGGTGCAGAGTGGAGCTGAAAAAGAGGTATAGGGAATCCTACCAGAAAGGGAGGAAAACTCAGCAAAATCCAGCAACACTCATGTTCCCAGGGTTCAGGGTCACTGATTAAGCCCCCTCCATCTTGAAGGCTTCTCTCCAATGCTTCTCTCTTGGCACCATAATCTTCCCAGTACAGACTACAATTAATTCTCAGTTTTGTGGAATTGAAATTAACTGGTGTGTTCACAGGGAGATTATGGCATCCCAGGCTATGGTCAGATGGGACGAAAAGGAGTAAAGGTAAGTATGGGAAAAAATTATTACTTTTAATTGATGAGCTATATCTAAATAATACCAGGAGATATGAGCATACTGTGGAAGAGGTGTGCTGATTGGTTTAATTTATCTTTTCTGCTGCAAATTATAGGGCCCACGAGGATTCCCTGGAGATATGGGGCAGAAGGTACTGTGCACATGACTTTCTTTTGAAATGACCATAGCATTAACCTTCTATTTGAGAATTGAAATAAGCCTTTAGAGCCAAAAAAAAAGTAGGTGAGGTTTTTTTTCCTGGGGTTTTATGAAGAAAAAATTATACTGAATTCCTGTGAATTTTAAATCATTAAATATTGTCCTGTCTTTCATTGCCTCACGCTCAGTGTCTTGAAAGCCATCATTTCACATATTTTGCTCATTGTTTGGTTTTTCAGGTGGGGGGGTAAATCCAGTCCCTGTTATTTCATCTTGGCCAGAAGAAGAAGTGCAATCACACTTAAATCAATGCAGTAGAAATGTTAAAAGAGAGAAGAAATTCTGAAATAGTGTTCTCATTCTGAAATAATGAGCTATGAGCTATATAGGGATATAACATTTTAAAAAACAGATCATGCTTATTTGTGGGACCAAATTGCTTGGGGTTTTAGATGCAGTTTTTTTTTTATCATGGTTTATGTTTTTCTTTGATGGTCTTATTGTTGAAATTGTGTGATTTTGTCCTAGATCAGGCCCTCCTAACCATTTGCCAGGGCTATAGCAATTGCCTCCAACTGCTCCGCATTCTAATCTCAGAATCAACTTCAAACCCTTTGCATGACCTAGAACACCTTCCACAGCATGGCTATTACTTGTTATCATTTCCCTTGCCTCTTCTCCCTTGCAGTCGCACTTTGTACTCTAATAAGATCAAAATGTATTTCTGTGCTCACAGTATATTTCTGTTTAATACCTCTGGGCCTTGGCTCATGAAATTTTCTCTAGCTGGATAACTACCTTCCTCTTTCCCACCTTTTCTTACTAACTCCTACTCATTCTTCTAGTCTCAGCTCAGTATTCATCTCTCCCAAGAAACATACCCTGCATCCTCAGATAAGACTGAGTGCTCTTGCCCTTATCTCCTGTGTCACTTACCACCAAATACTTCACTGATCTCTCCACTATACTGTGAGAGCCTTGGAAATATATCCTCACTATCCATCCTTATTCTTGTCTAATTTTGAGCATAGTGCCCAACTCAATAGACAGTTGTTGAGCAGAACTCATTGGGTGATACAGCTCTGACACTATATGGTTCATTCAATTTGGGTCACTAAATAAGACGTGACAAAGAGAACATCCTAAGTTTAAGAATCATTAAAAATGCTCATCCCCTCATGGGGACATTAAAAAAAGATTCTTTACATAATTAATATTTTTGGTTAAACAATGAATGAATGAATGAGTTGCAGAGATGATGGTAGAGCATATTATATTAATTCATTCATCTATTTATCCAACAAACATTATTGTGTGCATACTATGAGCAAGGCACTACAGATCCAAAAAGTAATAAGACATTTATGCCCTCAAAAAGTAAATCATCTAGCAGAGATACTCTCTGTCTAAATGGATGATATTCCTGCTTCTGCTCTTTACGAATAAGATCGTCATCTTTTTTAAAGACCACTGATGATGAAGTATTCAGTTTGTGAAGGAGTCA